ACAAGTTGTGTGGATATACTGTAGGTACAGACTTAGTCGGAAGGCTAAAGAGAGGCAAAAATCCAATCCCATATAGTAAAGTGCAGATGGTCACAGTGACCCCAGCAACCTCTGTCCAAACTTTACCCATGTTACAATGCTCTTACACTGGGTTGTTTTGAATGAGACTCAAATCTATTTATGTATTTTCCTAGTTTTCTTTATCATCTCCTTGTGTACCATTGAGTAGTTTTTGAGGACACAAGCCACTATTACAATGTTGTCAAGGCCCTTCTCGTTTTCTAGTTCAAATCCTTGTTCATGCTGTTTGCTAAGTACTTGTTCCCTGTGACAGCTTTCAGCCAAACAGAACACACTGAATGCTGCATTCCAAGCCACTCTGTCCTGCTGAGCTCCGAGTAAAACAAGCTCTTCAAACTCCATCATGTGAACTTTTCACAAGGAACAATCTCCCTCAGACAATTCCATTCAGAGATACTATCCGTGAAACTGGGACTGGGGGAAGAGGTGACATCACAGGCTTCCCCCTTTGGCCAGGGTCATGACCACCAAAGTTGTATTTAAGAGGCTCCCACGTGGTTTGGCACATGATTTCCTTAACGATCTAACATTTTCCCCAACTTTCCCATAAGCTTCTAATTTAAGATATTCACACTTAAACACAAAATTGGGTTCTGCTGTCAAGAAAGCCTGAGATTTCAATAAGTAAAGAATGAGCAAATTGCAGCTGGGGTCTCTATTAGGGATAGAAGGGTAGATGTATGAGATACTATATAACATATACCATATGTGAGGGTTTGGGCGGTAGATTAGAAAACATTGAAATAAAAAGCATTCTATCCAACCAAGAAGCTGAAAAAGTTGTGATTTGATTTTATTTTTTATAACAAGGAAGGAAGAAAACATGAGAAAAAGTTAAATAAATTACATTTTTGTTTAATGTCTCGAAGCCAGGGTTTGGAAAGAAGAGTTTTGAAAAATAAAAGAGGATTATTCCACTGAGATGGATAGCCAGCTTGTCTGCAGTTAAGCTACAATAGAAGGAGAGCAGCATACCCAGCTGCATTCCGAGGAATCTGGGGCTGTTTTCAGAAAGACCTGCCTGGCAGCTCCTGAAGAAGGTTTTGGACTTTCTTAAAAGCTTTTTAATGTGAGAAGAGCAGCTCATGGATCCAAAATGGTTTCTATTCCAGTTCTCACCAGAGTTGGGGCATGTGGACTCGGTGACCTTCCAATTCTCCCTTTGGTCCAATGAGTCTGTGAACTCATCTCTCTCTGTAACATCCTCCTGCTCAACTTACTATTTTGAAAAAGAACAGTGCCCAAAGAAGGGGACATTTGGCTGTAATGTGCCTCCTAAGCCTTTGGAATTTTTTGTTTGTTTGTTTGTTTCATTCCTGACCTGCTAAAGAAGATGAAACTAAAAGAGAGAGGAGTGTGCTGTGCAGACACATTCCCATTCTACAAGCAGCTCTGCCACTCCCACCTAGTAAATTTCCTGGCTCAGAATTGTTTCAACTTGGCAGTCCTTATTTCAATGAGTTCACAGAGCCCAACCGGTCAGATACTAGATTGCTAAAATGAGAATTTCATAGAAAGGTTGTCACTACCATTGCCTACTGAATTACATCAGAGATCAGAAAGTACCAGAGCTGTGAGGACTTTATCTAGCACAACTAACTCCCTTATTTCATATATCAAACAAGAAAGGATCCAGGAAAGAAATCAACTTGTTATCAGGAAAGTCAACCTGTTATCAGGAAAGTCAAGGCTTAAACCAAGATCCTGTGTGCTTGCCCCAAATGCTTGAGACAATGCAATTGTGTCTACAAATGAGAATGCTGATAACTTATTTGCTACCCTTCTTTACAGAAACATGTTTAATGTCACATAGAATAAAACTATTCCTCCAAGGTTTTATTTTGAGCTTTCTTTACCCTACTATAATTCTATAACGAAGACAATGTTTTCATTAAAACATAAATGTGCAGTGTAATGTTGAGTATGCTTTTTCAACCTACACATGCAATCACAGAGATTCTTACACACCTCCCTAGGGAAGTGAGCACCTTGGGGTAAGAATAGACGGTTTACAGACTAGTAGGGCAGACAAAGAAGCAAACTGACCATTACAGTGGTAAGTTCAACATGTGGGGATTTAATCCTGACTCAGAAGGACAAGGAACGTATTTTTCTTAAAAAAAGGTAAAGCATGAGGTAAGCTTTGAAGGCTAAATAGAAGTTAGGCAATCACAGAAGGTATTACAGGGAGCAACAAGGCAAAAGGGCCCAGAGGCAGAGATTATAGAAAATTCAGGAAACTTCAAGTGTTCGAGTAGCCTAATTTGGCTGGTGGCTAGAACACAGTGGCGGTGGCAAGGGTCACTTGGGTTCCCTGAATACACAATTCCAACAGCTTCCCCCAAATAAACACAGCACAGTAAAGAGTATGCTTACCATGCCGGAGCAGCTTCATAATACAAGTTCCCCAGCACCACCTGACCAGCAACATATTAATTACAAGTTCAGACACAATGTAACTAGGGGAGATACAGTGAAGGGAGCAACGGACTGGAACCTCCCAATAAGTCACTGTGGCCCTTTCTAGTGAGGTCAGCTGCCGCATTTGTAAAATGAATAGCTGACCCTGCCCTGAATAATCCTTAAAGTCCCTTTTGGCTTTGTATTTGCAATGTAGTAACCGTGCATATGCTACCTAGAAGATCAAACATAAAGTTCCGTAGACATCCACAAAGGCCCAAGGTGATCAGCAACTAATCCTCCCCTGATTCCCACTCCATCATCGTTTTATAAAAGGCAAAGTGATCTAACTGCAGTATTTCCAAACTATCAGTGCATATGCAATTTTCACTAGAAAGCAGAGTGAAAACATATAGCTAGAAGTTAGGAAATCAGAGCCTTCTTCTCTCAGCCTCCTATGAAAAGAAAATAATGAGGAAATTTCAGTTATTAACAAGTGTTTGCCTCAGTCTTACCTAACTAAGCTCCCAGGAAGAGAATGCATGAAATACGCAAAGTGATGATAAAGATATCTACAAATGGGGAGATTCACTTTAAGCCTGCATAGAAATTTTAACAACGATCAATTTAAAATTAGCTCCTTGGATCCATCACTTGAATCCATCACAATCAGATTCAGGATTGGTTTTCAGACTTTACTGTGCAACACAATTACTGAGACCTCCTCCTGAAAGCAGGTAGATTTGGGGAACCTCTCATTGAGATTTTAATTCAGCAAGGGCAATTCTGAAGTCATCAGTTTCACAAACTCCTCAAAAGATTTTCATGAGCGGTGGTGGGACCAACCACAGTGTAAAATGCTGAATCTAGTAATTAGGAAAGAGGGTAAAGGCACACAGCAGAGAATTATTTATAAATTAGGGTATGGGCTTCAGGTGCCTTCCCTGGGCAGTAAGTAAATAGAGAAGGAGGGAAGGAGAATAGATATACCTGGGTCTGGATGGAGTCCTCATCCACTCATTTAATAAATATTCATTGTGTGCCCATGTGAATCAGGCACTGTACTAGGTACTAGGGATTACAGAAGTAAACAAGACAAATGAGGTCCTTGCCCTCATATTGACGTGACTTCTTATGACCTTCCCTACCTACCTGTTAAAACTGCTGCACTTGATCAGTCTTACAGACCCCAATGATTCCACTGCATACGCAGGAGGAAAAAAAAAGGGAATGGCCACTTTGTTTCTTCAAAACTAACCTTCTAAGAGTTACTGCTGTTGGAAGTGAAGGCTTTCTTAGCCTTCAAGAGGCACTGTAGAACATAGTGGAACTGTTTTCTATCTTGTAAGCTTTGTGATGTGGAAGGGTGGGATGAATGAAGGCTTGTCAGAGAAAGCCCTGTCAATAACACCTCCCTCATCGCAAGTTAACCAAATGGCAATATCCCCAGTAAAATACATCCCACAGGGATACCCTGTCCTGTCTCTGTCTCTGCCCCAGTGTCTCACTTTTGAACAAGCAGGCATTCTGTTAAACTAATCTTCCTAAGGCACAGAGTGAGTGGTGTTACCTCCTGCTCCTAGAGAAACCTAAAGTACTGGGGCCAAGCATTTGAGACTCTAAACACTTTGGCTCATACCTCCCCTACCCAGTTCCTGTGACTCCCTGAACACACTTCATGGTTTGCCCCTTCTCAACCTTTGTTAGACACTGTCCAATCCCTGGACACTCCCTACCCATTTTTCTGGGCCTGGTTCAAATGCTACTTCTTCCTGAAGCTGTGACCCTCTCAGCAAGAAGAGTCTCTGTCCTCTGAATTCTGCACAGACCTTGGGCACTTTTCCCAATTAGAAGCGCCCTTTTGGCTATATAATTTATCTTCCAAGGCAGAATGTGCTCTTTGAGGATAAGAATTGTTTTTATGCTTTTTAATATTCCTTCTCAGGACCTAGCACAGTGCCTCAATAGCCATTTTTTTGTTTTTTGTTTGTTTTTTTTTGAGACTGCGTTTTGCTCTTGTTGCCCAGGCTGGAGTGTAATGGTATGGTCTCAGCTCATTGCAACCTCCGCCTTCCGGGTTCAAGCAATTCTCCTGCCTCAGCCTTCCGAATAGCTGGGATTACAGGCACCCACCACAATGCCTGGCTAATTTTTCTATTTTTAGTAGAGACCAGGTTTCACCATGTTGGCCAGGTTGGTCTCGAACTCCTGACCTCAGGTGATCCACCCACCTAGGCCTCCCAAAGTGCTGCAATTACAGGTGTGAGCCACCGGGCCCAGCCAGTTTTTATTATTTGCTTTATTTTGTTTTATTATTTTAATACATTCATTAATTATAAATCTACTCGAAAGGCCACACTAATGAAGCAGACACAACTCTAATGTGAACATAAAGGCAATGTTTTGCCAATCTATAATATTTTATGCACTGGTTTTGGGAGACCCTGGGGAGATTTGGGCTTTTTAACTTCCCCCCACTCCTTCAATAATCACATTCCCACCTCCCCTCTTTCCCCCCAAACCCCAGACCCATACCTGCTCTACCTCCTTCATCACCTCAACACCACCCCACCCTCATTCAAAAGCATGTTAGCCTTTTAGGTGCCCTAGGACCTTTGCTTCCAATTTTCTCCTACCCTTACACCCTCCTTCTCATATTTTTTCAGAGTAGAGGAGGTAGATGTTTTTTTACTCCTGGTTGCAAAGCGCATCCTTCAGGCTACTTCAGACACTCCAACACTGCCCTAGTATCCAGATTGGTGATCCTGAGTGCTCATGAGCTCAACACACTTATACAAGATCTGCGATATTTAGGCAAGTTTCAAATGTCGAAGAGTAGTTTCCAGTTCAAACACAGAGATTCTACTTGCTGATTTTAAAACTGATCTATTTTTCTGCTTTTTCTAAAATATAATGATTTTAATGTTGTATTGATTTTTATTTATAGAGAAGGGATAACCTTTATTGAGTACTTTATGTGCCAAGCATTGTGCTGGACACTCGAAATATAAATTTCACCTGATCCTCGAAACCACCTTAGGAGACACATAGTTCCATTTTATGGATGAAAAACTGAGGGCAATAGACATTAAATAACTTGCTCAAAATCATGCAGTTAATTTATGTAGCTAGGATTCTGCCGGTCCTTTTAAAATGAAGCTCATACTCTTTTAGTTATACCATGCTGTCCTCTTAATTAAAACCCAGAAGTTCATTCTGACTACTCGGTCTTCCACTTCAAAACAGAGATTATTAAAAAGATGTAACCTCAAAAAAGGAACTTTTTATATTCCTAAGAAAAAAACAGCACCACTGAGCCACCATCTTATTTTATCAAGATCTCAATTGATGGTTTAGTTTTCCCCAAAAGAGCCCTGAATTGACTCAATATCAAGTAATACCTGCACAGCCACCACAGCACCTCTTTGCAGCATCACATAATCACCAAAACCAACTATTTTTCAAAATTAGAAAATCACAGCCTAATATGTATTACTTGCAGTTTCTTTCTAGAAATTAGGTGCATGGTACAGTGAGATAAAAATGGAAGCCTCCAGATTGCACAAAGACGTCAAGTTTTACATTTTGATACAATGCAAATGAATTGGCAAATACCATTAAAGCCAACAATCAACCAAAGAAAAAAGTATTCTAGAACCAAGTAAACACCTTCTATGACTTCCCTTTAAGAATAAATAAGGTCAAATTTATTCATTCAACAAACATTTATTGAGCACCTGAAACTGTGCTAGGTGCTGAGGAATATAGCTGTGAACAAGATAAATCAGGCTCCTGCCTTGACCAGATAGGTTTGCTTTAAATGATCCTGCTAACTACTACATATTTATTCTCTGCTAGGATTACATTTTTGGAAAGTCAGAGTCATATGAAGCCTCTTCTGGAATATTTTTAAAGTTTCTTTATGGCAAAATTGATAGAAATCTTTGTTTAACTTAGAGAAAGGAAGAAAGACGGTCTCCAGTAACAATTAGACAAGCGTGTTGATGCTTCAGTTCATTCTCAAGCAATATGGCGCCAGGCAACCAATGAGGCAGTTTAGACCATTCGGTTGCGCTTTTGGATTGGGGAGTCTGTGATGCCATCACCGCACTGGGCCGAGGTGCGCTTGCGGATCCCCCCACTGTCCAGGTGGAGGGCCAGTTCCTCTGAGTTGAAGGGATTCAAGTCATCCTCCAAGAAACTACTTTTTCGGCGCCCACTGCTGGCGACACTGCTGTCTTGAGGCGAGTCAGCGGATCTCATGCTGATGCCGGCCATTGCGCCACTGAGGCCATGCAGGGCGATCGCCTCCTGGAAGGGCTGCAGGTCGACGTCCACCGATGAGCTGGACTCAGTTGCCACAGCTTGGCTGGCGGCCCCAGTGGGTGGCTTCGGAGGTGTTCTAGGAGTGCGAGGCGGAGGAGGAGCGGGGGGCACTTTGCCACACAGGAAGCTAATCACGTCTTCGCGACGAATGGTGCTCCGGCCCTTTTTCACCCACTCCAGCACATCTTTGATGCGACGCTGGTGGCCAACCTGGACACCCAAGTCAAAACTTCGTTGGTGGGCATCCCCGCTCTCTTTGTAGAGGCTGGTCACGGCCATGGCTGCATTCTGGAAGGGGTCCCACATGGAAAGTCCTGGCTGTTGACACCCAGAATCCTTGTAAAGCTGAGCAACCGCGGTGGCCGAGATCTGGAAGAGGTGCCACAGCTTCTGCTTCTCGCTCTTGAGCCCCGCCAACTCTGCAGCCGCCTCCTCCTGCAGCTCGGGGGGCAGCTGCTCCTCCTGCTCGGCCTCAGCCAGGCACTGGCGCTCCCACTTGGAAAACCAGTGCTCCGCGACCTCGGCCTCGCCCTCATGCTGCTGCTCCTCCATCCTCCTCTTCAGGCCGCGCACCTCCACCACCGCCTCCTGCTCCGCAGCCGCCGCCACCGCCGCCTACTCTTGCTCCTCCACCTCCTCACCTCCTGCTCCGAGCTCCCCGCCTCCTTCTGAGGCCGCTGCCTCCTTCGCGTGCGCCGCCCGGCGGGCAGGCGGGCGGGCGCGCGGGCGGCGGGGCCCTGAGGCCAACTGCTACGGCGCTAGCGGCGCGCGGCCCTGGTGTACGCCCCGCCCCGCCCGCCGGCTCAGTCACCGGCAACGGCGCGGACGCTGTCTCCTCCGCAGTAGCGAAGATAACCCCGCGACCGCCCGCGTCTCCGCGTTGCCCCCTTCCGGCCCGGCGGTCCGCTCCTACGACCCCCCCATGGCGCCGCGGCCTCCCCGCCGTCGCCGCCGCCGCCGCCGCCGCCGCCGCCGCTGCGGCTCCGCAGCTAGGTCCCAGCCCCCGCTAGCGCCGCGGCTGCAGCACCGGTATCTCGGAGGGGGGCTGGCAGGAGCTTTGCCTCAACGCGGCACTTGCCTACCTCTTAGCCCCCTTTTCACACATATTTGGGACTTGTCGGCTTCATCCAATGAGCTGATCAAATTTTACATCCTATGTTGCCAGAGAGGATTATGGGGCAACTTCATGGTGTCGATCACATCCAGGCCGCCGATCCGGGGAGGCTGGGGGAATAAAAGTGAAAAGAGCGCGGCACTCGTGGGTAGGGAGGGAGTCTGGACCCCAGCAATGTCCTCCCCACACTAGGCGCCCAAGGAAAGTGTTTTCCACTTGGACCAAAGTAGTATTTGGTAGAAGAAAAAAAAATCACAGGGAAAGTGCCTGCCGCCTCTTCTTGGGCCTCAGTTTCCCCAAGTGTCCAAGGAAGTTGTTAAACTAGGTCGTCAGAAAGTGCTCCAGTCCTGATTGAGAACTTCCCTGCTGTCCCTGCAAAGCACTACTTCAGGGTTAGTTTCATACTTACCAAATTCTAAGAGTTACAGTCAGAAATGATATTAATTCCCCCTCCATTCTTGCGAAGGTTTTTGTCATTAAGAAAAATGAGGTGAAGAGTAGATTCTGTGAGGACTACTGTCAACTACTGAAAATTCCAAGATGAAGTAAGGGGAAAGAAAAAAGGAAAAAAAAAATGAATGCTCAAACACGGGATTTTCTGTTCTAATGTAAAGTTCAGTCTCTTTTAGGAAAGAAAGAGAAAAAAACTTTCCTAATTTTCAACACCCTAAAAATTCTAGCTACTTAAAACATCATAATAATACCAAAATTAAGCTAAAACGGTATGGAACACTAATACCATTTCCTTGGGTTCAATAACAAATCCCTTGTAATAATGCAATCTTTTCTCAGTACAGACAATTCCAAAGCAAACTGTGTTAAAAGAAACAAAAAAAATCACTAAACTAAAAATAACATCAAAAGTGGGAGGAACAAACCTAGTCATTTTTAAAATTTAGATTAAAAAGTTAGAATTTTGCCGTTTTTGTTGTGGAATAATTGCTGTGTATCCAGAAAGCCTTACAGACATAAATAAAGCTTAATCTTCTAGCAAAATATGTCTAATAATTCCCAAGAATGAGAGTTAGTACATAAAATAAAATTATCATTAAGTTTTATCATCTTCCCTAAAAGAAATACATGTTTCTAAGTTAAATTTAAAAGAGAAGAAGACAGAATTGTGCCCTTTCTCTGCAAACCGGGCTTTTTCACGATTCATTAAACCCTTTTTCCATATGTGTAATTGGACTCTTCTCATTTACATAAACGAAGGATGAGGCAAAAGACCTAAGATCAGCCTAAGAAGAGAGATAAGTTTCTCATTCCTCTATGTTAAAAAAATATACATTGTGGAAGAAACCAAGAAGGCAGACCCTACTTCATCCCCTACCCCTCACCAGACCTGAAATATTAATAATTGATGGCCAAGGAGTAAGCAGTTTTGCAGAGCTTTGAGGGTTGCTCTATATATGGTGCATCACAGTTATTATCACAGGCACATGTTTTTATTTTATTTTCTCTAAGTAAACAGCTTGGACCCAAATGACTGACAGTAGGACACCATATCCTACTTTCTCTTCTCATTTTTGATTGGGTTAAAAACCAAGAAGAAAGACTGCTCTGTCTTTTAAAGAGCACAACCCTCTGCTTGGGCTTGAGTTGTCTGGCTGGTATCCTCCATTCAGTTGGTTTCAGCACCTGATTAATTAGTTAATTAGTACTTAGAGCTGACTAGCCCTGGCCGGCAATTTTCATGCCCTGCATGGTGAAATGTTGAATCCCACATTGAAATTTCTGTGTCGCACACTCTAATTATTATCACTCCACTACTTTTTAAACCATTGCACCAAATTATTATTATAGACAGAGCCAGACAACTGTGGGGGAATATGTTCTTTCTGAGAAATAATAGTAGACAATATTTTTCACTGTTGTCCTTAACACATTTAAATGAAACAATTGAGTGGGGAAAATTCGAATTCAATTAGCCTCTAACTCCTTTTACTGAGAAAATGATTTTATGTAAGAGAGATGTTAGAAAAAATATCACACCAGAAATTTTAGTAATGTTTTTTTATTTCCCTGGATGCCAAAGGGTGTGTTTACAAGATATCCTATCTGACATTAGTTTTCTTCCTATATAATTCTAAAATGTCTAGATTATTTTGAAAATAATAGAAAACAGATACTAAGCAAAAGGACCATTTTTTACTTGCTATAAGGAAATAATGCTATCTGTGTATGTGTGTGAGGGAGAACTTTTGATGTTTAAAAAAAAAACTGACATAGTTTAGGAATACGTTTTCTGTGGGAAAAAAAATATTCCTTTGCCACCGCCTCATTCTTCCACAACTTTGATGTCATGGCTAAGGTTAAATATCAAGTAGGGAAAAAATAGTGTTAGAAAATAAGTTAGGACACAAACCTATAGCAGTCTAATATTTATCATTTCTCAGTATACCATTACCGAAAAGAGCTCCAGTATCAGCGATTTCCAGTATTACTGCTAGCTATTTTCACCTGGAAACAATCCTTATATATCAGTAGTGGGTTGCTTGTAATTGTAAGAGCTAAATGGTACACAAAACTGGATACACAACCACACAGACCAGTAAATGGGTCAGACTGAAAGCAAAAGTAAACACCAACCTTAGGAAATGAAAGAAGTTAAAAGATAAGTGTTAAGGACCTTATTCTTTTTGGAGAATAAAACAAGATTTAGTAGCTTTCCACTTAATTTAAATGAAAAGAATCACTACCTTACATATTGCAGTGATAATGTAATGGGGAAAGAAAACAAAAAAGTCTTTGTACAAATGACACCTCCTATAGTTGTTGTGAAGAAACTTTTCCCCTTGGTATCTGCTAACAAATTCTAATTAATGCTGCACATTCCTTTACTGAAATCATTTAATGCGTAACAAGGGGGGTAAAAAGAAATGCTGAATGCTCGTGATTGCCCTGTTAGAATTATGGGAGTGAAAGCCTGGGGCCCCAAACTTACTGTCTATTAAAGCCAAGCTTTGAAAAAGAAATGCAACCTACAAAAGCTGTCAATCTCCCTTGCCCCTAAAGCCTGGGTTCACATGGATTCAAGTGACAGCCCTCCTCCCCCATGCACAATACATCAATCTGTCTCTCCCACAAGCACCCACAGCCCATTGTGCTGGCCGCAGGTGCCTATTATGGCACCCATGGCTGCCTCCCACAGCTCCGCCCCTGAGAAACAGGAACTGCAGACAATGGGGCCCTGTGGGAAGACAGAGGTGGGTGTTGGGAGGGATAACAGACAGATGGTAAAGGGTACAGGGTAGTAAGATAGTTTCAAAACAAATGTCAAACATTCAAAATTATTGCTTTCACTTGCCCCCCTTTTTGAATTGCCTTTGCTTCAATCGCCATCTGCCATAATTATGAAAACACATACCTGTTAGGTTGAATATATGCTCTTCTTTTTGGGTGGTGGGCGAGGGGATGACCTTCAATATTCTATTCCACCTATTTAGCCTCTAGGTTTCTCAAGGTCACAGACTGAAGAGTTTGTTAAGTGACACCAGTAGACCATATAAGGGAAGGAAGAAATAGTTCTAATTTTTTCACAAGGCTTGTGATTTCCTTTTAAGCTTACTTTGGGGATTCATAAGAGAGTAAAGGTGATGGAAACTAGTTGCTTTGGGTAATACGTTAGTGAAGTCAAAGTGTTATGAGATGTTTTAAAATATACCAAGCAGATGGACATTCTTAGGCCACTTCTTTTCTGGTAGGGAGATACAAAAAGGGAGATGAGGTAGATTTAATAATAAAAGTAGTGAAGGTCTCTGATTCAGAGTCTTTTCCTATTCCTAAACATGCCAAAATAAATAAGTAAAATTGTAAAAAGAATTACTAAATACTATTCACATTGAGTACCGTTATCAGAAGAAGTACATTTTAAACATTTCATCTTATTAAATGTCACTTGCCTATGTTGTTTTCATCTTTGGAGTTCCAGACTAATTAAGAAGCAATAAGTGGAAGAATTAAAGTATATGCCAAAAACGCATATATTACTTCAAATAATTTGATTTAGTTGATTTTGTCCTTAGTCATCTCTATATACCACCTATTTCTGTTTCCAAGATAATCTGTCATAAATCAAAACCAAATTCACATTAATTTCATCACTACTATTACTACCTGTCTCAAACAGAAAGTGATGAAGAAAAATCTGGCACTACTATAAGTCATGGTCAAGACAATTAGTGACTTGTTGGGATGAGGGTACCCCCCAGAATAATTCCAGAAACTAAAACCAGCCAGCTTTCTTGAAGCAAACAACAGGGTCTTGGTTTGTTGTCAAAAACCACAAACTAGGCTTTAACTAGGAACTGTCAGAGATCCAAGTGAGCTCCTAGCCAGGGAGAGCTTAATTAGCAGAGTTGGTCTGGTTTTTAAATTACACAAGAAAAACAACCAATACAGTATGAAAGCATACAGTGATCTAATGTAACACAAAATTCACTATTCCATTATATGTGTGTGTAGTAGTTTTGCACATTTTATTAACATTTTAGATTTAGATTTCAAACATTAGTTTTGTGCCCATTATTAGGGCATGGGGTTTTTTTGTTTTGTTTTCTTCTTGTGTATCTTTTCAGAGAGTCTTATGTCTTCATCACCAAATGCAAATATGTGTGCCTCTTCTTTTTTCTATAAATGGTAGCATATGCTATTTATTTTTAAACTGATGGATTCTGGAGATCACTTCATATCAGAACAGTAAGAGCATATGTTATTTGTAAATATTAAGACTAGTTCAACAATGGGAAATTTATTTATAACTTGTTTTTATGACATCCAAAATATTCAGAGTTCAAAAGAAATCCCTAAGGCTTTTCACTTAATACATGGCCCGTTTTTCATATCTCTGGTTCCTTACAAAAATGACATTGATTAATTAATTAAAAGATGCCAGGTTTTAGCTATAAAATTTGTTATCAATAGATAGTCTCCTTTCCTTTGTGCTGCAATACCAAGCACTTTGACTTCTAGATGTTTTCCATGGAGCTACAGAGTTTTTATTTTATCTTATTATTTTCATTTTTAGAGACAGGGTCTCACTATGTTGCCCAGGCTGGAGTGCAGTGGCTATTCACACACACACACCATTCCACTACTGATAAGCACAAGAGTTTTGACCTGCTCTGTTTCTGAGCTGGTTCACCCCTCCTTGGACAACCTGGTAGTACCTTGCTCTCAGTGGGTCACCATATTAATGGTGCAGATACCGTATCATCA